GATTCCAAACTATAAAAATGACCTATTAAACATCACAAAACTCAACAGAAAAGTGAATGAACAAGGACGACAATTTTGGTGACGGACAGAAACGCAGAAGACAAATAGACACAAGAAAAGGCACCAAATGAAGAACGAAAATGAAGGTAAACTAACAGAAAAATATGACCTGAGTTTAGATCCAAGGCTCTGATACCAAGATGGTGAGAACCCACAAGAAAAAAATCCCACGAACCCACAACCAATCTGAATATATGCACCCCAAGAACGTAAACAAAGGTCTGGTGATCCACTTGAACCCTTAAACACGGGAGAACAAAGACCCGAAGTGTTGAAAGACGCACAAGGTTGATCAAGCCTTGATAAGTCTGTTAGTTCAATGAAGAACCCTAGAGAGAACCCCTCTCAAATCAAAAATTGCAAAATGCAAGTTTTTCATTCAAATTCCAAATCTCCTCCAAAATGAGGGTTATAATATCTTATAGAGGATACATTCAGAAATCTGACCTAAAAAGCATTAAATGCAATCTAGAAAATCAAAATATAATAAATTCATAAGGACTTGATTTAGGTAACTTGGAAACTCAAAAGTCAAATCTGCCAATTAATTATGAATTTTCGCTCAAATGCATTTAATGAAATATAATCAGCATATCAAGCCCAAAATATGATTAATTAGGCCCAAATGAGTCTTCTCATGTGTTGTACTTGATCTAGGCTTCTTAAATTGAAGTCTCCAAGCCCAAGATATGATCAGTAGCTCCATTTTCAGGCTAAATGACATTAGTGACGTCCTCAGAATTTTTATCCAGATTTGATGCTCCAACAAATGCCATTTGCTTTGTCAAGGTGTCTTGCACTATCCCACTCAAAGCTTCTTTAATTCTTTTAGCTCTTGCTCTTGTGATTGGTCCAGTTGGGATTTGCAATGGATCATTGGAAGTTGAGGAGTTAGCTTGCTGTATCGCATCAGAAGTCCAACATTCTGAAAGATCCATTACAAGGCATTAGAGGCCCAATAACAAGAGTAAGGACTAAAGCTATGAAGGAGGCCCTAAATTGTCTAATACGAAAGCTAAAAGAGTTGAAGCCCATTTATTTGGAAGAAGCACATTTTAATAAGCCTAAAAGGAGTCCAAAAATGGTGATCACATTGCTAGAAGCCCAACAAGATGATGTACAAGGCCCTTGTGGAGTTCAGATTGAAGAATTCACTTAAAATACCATGTGACAAGCATGTGCCTTTTGGACAAAGATCATAAGTGACGTCCAAGAATCTTTAAGAAGGATCAAGAAGGCATCATTATGAATTGATTATGATTTAAATTCGTTTTTTTTGTCAAGGAGTGTTCTAGAAGATCATGTTTTTATCTACTTTCCTATTTTTAAATAGCAGACTTGTTCTTGAAGTTTAAGTTATTTTTTTTTTTCTATGTAATAAATGGTGCCTCCCATAGTCAAAATAATCATTAATGAGGCGTCATCCTTAGCATTTATGTCTTAAGATGCTGATTCTATAGTGTTCTATTATTGCCTATATAGGCTGTGTTTTTTGTAATTGAATTCAGACTTCGATAAATGAGAATTGAGTTTATTTCTCTTTGTGTGAGCTTTGCTTGCATCCTTGTATTCTTGTGAGAATACTCGACAGTATCAAGGGATTGATCAACCTTGTGGTGTCTTCATGGCTAGGGTTGTAAGAGACAGGTTCTCTTAAGGTCCTACCCTGATCAACCATCCGTTCGTTACTTGATTCTAGCTGGTCCGTACATCCCCCCTATATCAAACTCCTTCCCCATGAACCAGCCTTGACCAAATAGTATGCTTTTAGGGTCCAAAATTTTCATTTCCAATTCCAATGCTTCCAAACTCGTTTTCTCACCTTTATCCCATACAATTTTTCATTTTAAACACATTGAAAGTATCAAAATTATTAAAATCCAATCCTAGCCCTAAGAACTAGCTCTGGTTGAAATGTTGCTCAAGTTACATAATCATGAAATTCAACCAATTTCAATATAAAGCCACTTGATTCTTGTTTCTTTTAAGCCTTTAAACATTATTCTAACATCAATTTCATCTTCCCCTATCCTTAATAACTTTGTGCAGCATGCCCCCTAAGGTAGTGAAAACTACATTAAAATCATTAAAATCCATAACCAAGCCCAACAACAAGGGTAGTGAAAACTACATTAAAACCATAAACATATTTTAGAGCTTGATCTTGTATGGGACACTTTGCCTTTCTCTCTCTAGGATCTATTTTACAAGAGTTTCCCCATAAGTTCCATGGCTTGCACGAAATGGGGAAGGGGATGGGGATATGTATAGAAAACAAAATTGAATATTAGCCATGGATCTTAAAAATATGTGGGATCTTGACTGTTCATTTTGCCTTTTCATCTTGTGGTGACAAGTGTCCTATAACATCATACTTACATAATCTTGATGACATCATGCTTGCATCATCAAGCCATATGTCTTCAATCCAACCATACACACGTCTTTTTACTAGAAATTTCCAATATTATCCATGAATTTTGAATTGTATTTAATTAATTTCTTTGAGTAGGTAGCAAGTCACGAAATTGGGCTCTCTTTTAGGCTCAATGTGGGTCCCACACATGGTTTGGGATGGCTCAAAAAGTTAGCCCACAAACCAAATCACAATCACAAATCATTCCGACTCTTTTTCGGTTACTATTCACTTGTAACATTTTGTAATTTTTCTAGGCTTCAAAAATTCATTTCTCTCCATGATAAATCCCATTTTCATATAATAATATGATGTAAATATTTTTATAATTTTTCTCCACCTCTAGATAATTATTTTGAATTTTTCCCGATTAGGCCTTTATCGGTAAAATTGCAGGAAATAAATTCTCTAAAATTAATTCCTGTATTTCCAAGGGCTGAAACCAATTTTACAAATTCATTCCCACATTTAGATAATTTATCCATATTTTTTCCAAGTTTATTGAAGTCTTTAGCTATTTTAAATAATTATTTTCCTCTAATTTTTCTACTATTTTCCAAAAAACCTCCGTTTTCAGAAAATTCCGTAATAAGCTATTTTATACTATTTTCATCTTTTGGGCCTCAATTGAGATGCTAAAACCTCTAATTTATACCTTACCATTTTTTTAGGAAAATTTCTAGAATTTTCGGGCATAATTTTCATTTTTACCCTTACTAGCATAAAACTTTACAAAATTACAATTTTGCCCTTGGTTTGGCCTAACTTGAAATTCACCTCAATGGGGCCTCCGACATAACCTTTGGCCTATATTTTTTTTTTCTTGTTCTTGGGCCTCGAGACTTCATCCAAGCATCTAACTTCCTCTTTTCTTAGTCCTAGAAAATTTTTTCTTTGTAATTTAGTCCCTGAAAATCCCTCTGTCCTTCTAGGAAATTTCTAGGACCTCTGTCAAAAGGGGTCTAGTAGCCTTCCAGGCTAATTCCAGTAGTTCTAAGCTCAAAATTTGGGATGTGACATTATGCTACAAAACTGATAAGGTAAAAAAGTAACTATTCAAAATGCATTGGTTATGATGAAGATTACACCGATCTCACTAATGAGGAATTTAGGCACTTTTAGGATTGGTCTTATCTATTTGAAATCTACTTTATGTCTTACTTTAAATACAAGTGTAATGTGTGCTGCCCATTGTCACTTTAGCTTTATCAGCTTTTGCTTTTGTTAAGAATTTCTGCTTTTATAGGATTGTATTATTGAGTCTGTAATAATTCAGGTTTATGGTCTAGTCAGTCCAAGAATCTATATAAGGACGCCTTTGGTTTTCTGAGGAGGCATCAAATATTGTAACATTGAGTATTGAATGAAAAAATGTTTTCTCTAACATATCTCTAAACTCTATCTCTATCTAAGAGCTTGTTCTATCTATCTCAAAAATTCAAGTATGCTCTATACTTGCCTCTTATAAGGACCTTATGTATCAGAAAGAATCTGACCATGATCCTATGAGATGATCTGTTTTGATTTAAAAGTCTTTAGTTTGAAATTTTACAGGTTAAAGTCCTAATATGGTTTGTGTGAGGCCGAGAGAGCTAATTGTTAAGACTTTGATACATGGTAATACCTGTAATTCTCTCGACTGAGTCTCAAAGGTTTAAGGAGACTCACCCTCGTGGCTCAAAAAATATTTTCAATAATAGGCTAATAAAGTATATAATTTTGAACAATTTATTTTTAGTCCCTTAAATTTAACATCATTATCCTCACTATCAGAAAATACTGACTAACAATTTCAAAATATAACTCAACATTTAATTGCTGACATATTAATTTTTAATTTAAAATAGGTAAATTAAAAAATATTTAAAATAAAAGTTGATTAAGGATACCATCAAACTTAATTACTTCCTCTAACCGAAATTTCTAACATGATTCTATAGGATTCACTCTTCATTTTTTTAATTAAAATAATAAATGAAAAAATATTCTAAATGGTGACATTTTAATTTTTTATTATCAACTTTTTAAATTATGATATTGAATCTAATATAAAGGTTAACAATAACTCTAATTCTTAAGATAATTATAATTTTTGAAATGTTTAGATATAATTTTTTAAAAATTAATTAGGTAAAATTTTAAAGAAAATTGTTTATTTTATAATTATTAATAATATTAAACCATATAAATTGTTGATGAAAGTAAGATTTCATGTTAAAAATATTTTTGCTAGTTATTTCAATAAGTGCGCTTCCTAAAATAATTTTAACTATTTTTAATTTATAGATTGTAAATTAACAATTAATATGCATTTAAATAATAATTCGTTATTTTAAAATTGCTAAGTCATTAGTTTTCATTAATAAAAGTTCAATGATATTAAGTTTAAAAGATAAAAATATAATTTTTAAATTTAAAAAACCAGACTCATATTTAATGTAAATTCAAAGGATCAAAAGGTCTAAAATTTAAGTGACACGGAGGAAAAATATCTCCCACAGGTCAAAAAGCTTTATCCAAACCAAAAGAATCCAAGAAAAAGTGATAGAAAAAGCGAGCCTCTCTCGTCCCTATGACCACAAGAACAAGCTCCGATCCATAATCAAAGATGGTGGTTTCCTCAATATCTCTGAGCTGCTTTTCGCCATGCTTATACAGCAAGGTTTGTTTGCAATATCAAACAATTTCAGACCATTTTATAATTGAATGTAAATATCATTCTGCATTATTATGTTCCAGTTGAACTACCTGTCCGGTTCGAATGAACCGCCTCGCAATTCTGCGATTTCATCTTTCCGCAATGCAGTCGCTGCCGAAACAGAGACAACCTCCGACGACGATGGACAAAGTAATAAACCAATGAGACTGAAAATGGAGTTTCTGGAACTTTGTCCCTAGATTTTTGGATTGATTTATTATGTTGATGAAACAGATTGGTATTTCATCATGAGTCCAAATTCACATTCCAACAATTCTCTCTCTTTCTGAAATGGTGTGGATTTTGGTAGAAATTTTTGCTGGGTCTCGCTTAGATTAATTTTTAATAAGCGACTTTTCTTTTTGGCAAGATAATAAGCGACTTTTTTGGGAGAACGGATTATAGAGCCCTCATTATTTTAATTTGATTTGTACCCAATAAATTTGTTAACGTTAGATTATTTGACTTAAACATTTTTAAATGAAAATATAGCAGAAAGATGAGTTCAGATTAAGAAAGAAATAGAGTGAAAAAAAAATAATATACACACATTACACACATATAAACTACAAAAAGAGAATCCCGTTCAGGATTTCACCTATACATTACCGCTGTAAAGGAATAACGCCTACAAAAAATTGAAATTAGAAGTTCACTTAATAAAAATAAGATCTTCAGTTAGATTTTATATATCATTTTGAAGTTGTAGGGCACTTACAGAGAAGGCCTCTATTATTGGGACTTGGAACACTGACTGCAACTGTTCTCCCTGCAAATCCACTCAAAGCTGAAGGTATTTATTTACTTTCTTCTTGTTTTTAGATACACGAATTTCTTGCACATTAAAAAATTTAAGTTAGATTGTTTAAATCAAATTTAGACAGTTCATATTACATCAGTCTTTTTTTTTTTTTTCCAATTTGAACGAAAATATAAATCGTTTAGACCTAGTCTAAATGATTCCAATAAAATGTGTACCATGCACATCTGTAAAATCTCATTAAACATATAATTCTGCAGAAATACCAGCGAAGTACAGAGAATTTGTGGACTTTATAGATGGGTATTCTTATATATATCCTCAAGACTGGAAGGTACAAGAAATCATGTTAATTAAATCAATTTATCTCACAAAAATCATATTTGAAATGCACACGATTATAAATCTCTCTTAACAGACTATTAGTGTGAATGATCTCATTCTTTGATTCCTAGGACTTTGACTTCAGAGGGCACGATTCTGCATTTAAAGACAGGTATTTGCAATTGCAAAATGTGAGGGTGAGATTCATACCAACTCAGAAGAAAGATATCCATGATTTAGGTCCAATGGAAGAGGTAATATAATGATTATCAAGTCAAAATTACTGCAAGTCATGCAAATTGAGAAATGAGTTTATAGCTGCAAAGATTACCTTATGAAGCCATCACAATGAAGTTAGAGAGAGATGCAAAGATAAGAGTAGGTCTCACTTCTGTGGGATTTATGATCCTATTTGGTACGAAGCATTGAAAATAAAAAGTAAGGATTATGATTCGGTTTGAGAAAAATCATTAAAGAGTTTTTAGTATGAGTAATTTCTTGTTACATGAAATTAGACAATCTCATTCCCATAGTATTATCTAGTTCCACATATATGGATTTGTTCAATCCCAAGTAACAAGTAATTACTCATACTAAACACTCTTTTAACATATTTTTTCAATCACAAACACAATCCTTATCCCTTATTTTTAACTTTTCATACCAAACGAGACCATATATATATAGAAATGAGACTTATTACTTTATTATTATCTTTTTCTAACTTTCTCTTTTCGAAGTATTCTAGAGAATCAAAATAATTTGGGGGGGGGGGGGGAATCATTCCTTTTAATGCTTGTGATTTGGTACCTCACAAATGTGTACAATAACCGTGAAGCAGGTTGTAACCAATTTGGTGAAGCATGTATATGCTGCCCCCAACCAAAGGCCAACAGTATATGACATGCAAGAGGTTCTCTTCTCATTGGTTTCTTTTCTCAATTATCTGCGTCCCCCCCCCCCCCCCAAAACAAAAAAGAATGGTGAAATCTCGATGATTAGAAGTTATTACAATGCAGAGAACTGTAGATGGGAAAAATTACTACACGTTTGAATACGTTCTCACATCGCCAAATTACTCAAGTGCCTCGTTTGCAACAATAGGCATAGGAAATGGTGAGTAACCTTATCTTCTCAACCTCTACTCCATGAAGGTTATAACTATTGAAATTGATGAAAATGAATTCAGTTTTTATACATAGGTAGTTTACTCCAATGGAATTAGGACAAATGGATTTTTCTATAAATTATTTACTGTATAACTAATTTCATTATTAATATTCTTATTTTCAAGTCTAGAATCCACATGTTCTGATTTGATTTGTCTCATCTCAAGTATATAAATGAAGTCTTTTCTATGATGTTGCCTTCGTAGTAGCATAAATTAGAATATAAATAGTGTATATGATGAGTGCCAGCAAGGTGAATATTGTTTTTGTGAAATGATCGATGGTGTTGATGAATGGCCAACACTATACAGGAAGGTATTACACCTTAATTGTTGGAGCCCTTGAAAGGCGCTGGAGAAGGGTAAGAGATAAGCTTAAAGTGGTTGCAGATTCCTTCAAGATATTAGACATCTGAAATTATATCAGGGTTTCCCTGGTGCATGTTCTAATTTGTTTATAGATTGAATTTAAAATTTATGTAGCACAATATGAACCTTTTTGTCTATCATAGAATGGGAAGATTTTCAAGTTGACCTAGTAATCTGAATTGACAGATTCAAATTTGATTCTAGGTAAAAATTAATAATACCCATTTCTATTTTTAGAAACCAATAATGATGTTTTTGTTGATGTCCTCGTCATTTTCTTCTTGGGGGCATTGTATGGACATTATGCCGGCTTTGATGGCTTTGTTTTTATGGAAAGGTTCCAAAAAATTTACGCCCTACATTAGATCAAATAAAAGTGGATGAATATAAACAATACTTAACATAATTTGTCAACATACAATAATCAGAGAGCATGACCACTCGCATAGCTCAACTCTTCGCATCAACCAACTTTTCAGTACAATACTAACCTGGTTAAGCATACAGAAACAAAGGACATATAGTGCAGAAACTCAAAAGTAGCTCTGAACCATTTAACCACTTTTTTTAATATTTATAATAAACAGAAGAGAGCAAGAAGAAAATCCTACATGAAGTAGCCAGAAGAAGCATTAGTATCCCTTACACTGAAAACA